TTTTTTTTAAAAAATAAAAAAAAAAAAAACCCCCCTCACTTTTTTTTTTTTTTTTTTGGGGGGGAAACCATTAGGGGGAAAAAAAAAATTTTCCGGGAGAAAACCCCGGGGCCTTTGGGGCCTTAAAAGACTTTCTCAGCCCCCACTGTCGCGCCCCAGGGGGGGTTTTTGGGGAGCCCCTCGGAAAATATTTTTTGTTTTTTTTTGTTACAACAGGCAGCTTTTTTTTTTTATGTAGGATTTTTTTGGGGTGTTTTTTCCATTTGTTTAAAAAATACAGGCTTTTTGGGAAAAATATAACCATTTCCTAGTTTTCGCCAAGTTTTTTTTTTTGTTTTTTTTATTTTTGTTCGTCAAACTGAAATTTTTTTTCCAATCCCCGACTTGGGGGTTAGGACACCCAATCCGGAGAAAATTGAAATTTACCGCCCAAGACCCCCCCCCCCCCCCCCGAACCAAACAATAATATAGGTGTTGCACGGTGCGGCCCCCGGTCGCATGGCGGCGGAGGAATCACCCGAGGCTCGAGACATCTACTGGTTCAACACTCGCGTCACGCAGAACCAGCGAAATCGGCGCCGGGTCCTGGTGGAGGTGTTCTTGGGGCTGCTGTACGTGTTCTACGTGGTTCCGGTGACGCTGCTGTACCTCTTGCTGTCGGAGGACTCGGTCACGACCTACGCTGATTGGGTGGCGGATTTGTACGACAACGTGAGTGTTTCACGCGGATTGGTTGGCACAAGTTGTGCGATGCCGCGAGGACGCTCGCTGGTTGGGTAGCAGAAGCTGTACGATTGTTGTCGTGGTGTTGTTGTTGGCAGTGGTCGTGTTATTGGTGAACAGTGCTAGTACAACACAGCTTGATTTGTCTCTGTGCGCGGTGGTGTTGCTGTCGTCATTTCTGGCTATGTGGCGGCCGACTTTGCTATATGGTTGTTTTTTTGCTGCTGCTATGCTGGTGCCTCTACTTTCTTTGCTGCAAGTAGTGCCTCTGATGTGTAACGGCTTCACCTTAAACTGAACCTTAATCTAATGAGATGAGAGCAACGTTCTCGTTCCGCGTCTGTCAATCTTGCAACGACCTTGATCAACGCTTCCCCTCCCTGTGGTTGCGGGTGCTGCTCCGCCTCTCTTCTCCTCTGCCTGCAATAATGTTCGGGCCCCTTTTTGCGAAAATACGGCAGAGCACGATCTTCGCCGCCTTTGTGCAGCTCCTGCAGCCCATTGCTCTGCTGGTGCTGATGAACACGCTGCCCCCTCTGATCCGGCTGCTGGGGATGGCCGAGGGATTCCCGGCGGAGTCAAGAAACCAGCAGGCTGTATTGAGCCGCTACTTTTATTTCCAGGTCGGTCTCTCTCTCTCTCTCTCTCTCTCTCTCTCTCTCTCTCTCTCTCTCTCTCTCTCTTATTGATACTATAACACAGCGAATCCACATCTATCTATAGATAAGGGTCTAGGGTTAGCAATGAATTCATTCAAAGCGTTAGCGGAGTTAACCCAAGTCTCACATGTGGTGGAATGTGTAATGTTTTCCTGGCTAAGCGTTAGGGGTGTGGTGAAGGTCTCTCTCATCTCTTGGCTTCTTGATACTACAACACGACGAATCCACACCTATCTATTGATGAGGGTCAAGAGCTAGCAATGAATTCATTGCGTTAGCGGAGCATACCCGTGGTTTTTGCTTGTTGTTGGTTCAGGAGACCCAAGTCAGTCACACATGCGGTGTATTGTTTATTGTTCTTCCGGCTAAGCGGTGGCGGTGCGCTTGACGGGGGGGCTGTTGGTGTTGATGTTGATCAATAAATTATGATGAACATGCGTTCAGGTCTTTTCGTTTGTTGTATGGTGTGTTCTTATGTCCACGTTTTCGTCGCACGCATGGCTTTGTATGCCGCTGGCGTGTCAAGTTGTGTATGATTCGTCCGTGTTAGTAAGCGCCGACCAGAGCGCGTGACGGCTGGCGAATAAAAGGAAGTTAGTCGAGGCCGAGCTATGCATGGAATGGCACAGCTTCCTGTGTCTGCGTGCGCGCCTGCAGGAAGGACATACATGTATTTCTGCGTGCGCGCAGGCAGCTAGAATAGCTACTGTCACCAGAGCATGTCACCGCCGTATCGCATCGTGTCCCCAGACCAGAAACGAGGTGTGTCCTCGAGCGTCATCCGTTGCTTGCTTGCTTGCGACGACGGTACGACGGTGTTACGGTTCACGGCACTGGTTGTTAGTGTTGCCGTCACCGTGACGTCATCACGAGCATCATGACGTCATCATGAATATTATATCCGTCGCCGTCAGCTCCGTGCCACTGTTATCATCGTCATCGTCGCCGGCCGTCGTGGTGACGTCATGATCAACATTGTGTTGCCGTCATGAACAGCATCGTCATGTTGTCATCACGCTCGCGTTTTCTTTCCTTGCCCCCGCCCCCCTCCTACAGATCATCAACGTGTTTTTGGTGACCACCGTGGCGAACTCTATCCTGGACACGATCAGCGAGATCGTGGAGGAGCCCACTAAGACATTTACCCTCCTGGGGGAAGCCCTCCCCAAGGTGATTGCTGGTTGCTGATTGGTTGTTCAACAGAGCTGTACAATCATAAGGCTGTTGTGTCAGTGTAGCAGGAGAGGTGGGCGGGGGGCCTCAGGCATAGGAGCCCTTCTGTGTGACCACGGGTTGGAGTAAAACGGCACACAAGTGCTGTGAGCGCATTTTTGAAGTGACAGAAAAAAAAAAACAGATTTGTAGTACATTCTCTTTTGGGTTCGCTGGGTTGTTGAACTGAGTTGTATCGTAATTCTGCTGTTTACAGATTTGTACGCTTTTCTTTTGGGTTCGATGAGGTTCGGTGTGCTGCGAGCGCTGACTTAAAAGTGAAGACAAAATATATTCTCTGTATATATACAGATTCGTAGGGGGGTTATTGAGGTTCGCTGAGTTGTTGAACAGAGATAGAGTTGTATCGTAAGACTGCTGTGTATTGTACAGATTTTTACGCTTTTCGTTTGGGTTCGGTGAGGTTCGCTGGGCTCTTCGAGTCAAAATACGTCAGCTGCCTGCGTTTTTTTGTCATCTTGCGTCACCCCTTGACGACGCTGCTGTGCTCTCATGCACCCACTCCGGAGGGAGCACCTGGAAGTATGTGTTGGGATATTTTGTTGTGGTTGGGGTATGGTGCTTATTATTTTTTTGTCCGTGCTGGTGAGGCTAATTCTGGTGCTACTTGCGGCCTCTTGCTGTTGCCTGGTTGTTGCTTGTGCCCCCTCTCTGTCACCACCATCTTTGGTGCTTGAAAATAAGGTGGCCGGGTTCTTCTGCGAGTACATCATCCTCAAGATGTTCGCGGGCCTGTGGATCGAGCTGACCCGCAGCATCTCCCTCATGCAGGCGAGCTACGAAAAGCTCCTGCTTCGTTTCATCTCTCGCCTTTCGATTACGACGCTTTTTTCGTGGAACTCTCTCGCTTTGCGTTAGAGTTCGTCTGGTCCATCTTGCGTTCGTTACAAGCGCCTCTCTCCCTCTCCCTCTGCTACGGTAGCGGTGACCGCGATAACTGGCTCTCAATGCGGTGCCAAATGCTGGTGCTTGTATGATGATGCAGGCGGCCTTAGTTGCTTCGCCCTCTCGGTGTTGCAGTTTCACCAAAGACGCAAGGTATAAGAGAGCCAGCCTTCCGTGTGGCGGGTACCCTCCCCCCTCTCTTGTCTTTTCGAGCTAAATTACACTAACACTTTTTTTGTAACAAATTTTTGTCGGAGCAGGTTCAGGTTTTGGGTCTTGCTGGTTGTGAACCACCGAGTTGTTGAACTATTGTTTGCAGGCGCCCTGTGTTGTGATTGTACCATTTCCCCCGCAGCCACCCCTCCTCTTGCCGCTGTCACTTTTTCTCGACCCACGTATCCTTCATTTTTCTTGTTCATGTTCTCCTCCACGCTACTAGGTGTGTGTGACCCGTGTTTGTTGCGATGATTATTCCTGTTGTTTTTGTTTTTCGAAGGAGTACCTCTTGCGAGTCATCTGGCCGCGCAAGACGCCTCGAGATCGCGCGACGGTGGTGATGGGCATCCGGCCCTACTTCGATGCGGGGTGGTTCAACTACCCCAAGTACATCGCTCAGGACCTGCTGGTTGTGGTGGTGAGGTGTGGTTGTTGATTGCCGCTCTGGTTGTCGTCGTTGTTGTTGTTGTTGTGTTGTTGCCTCACATCCCCGACTGGTCTGACTTGTACGCGTCACCTCGATGCACTCGTGTGTACCACCTGTGGCCTTGGAGAACTTTATGATCCTCATTTCGAGGCAGGTGCATATATCTCAGATGCTTGGTGGTAAACACGAGCGCATCGAGGTGCCGCGTACAAGATGACCTGTCAGCTGCTTGCGCCATCACTTGTGTGGGAGTTTTCAGTTGCAAGCCGGCTGACGTGTTGTTCTTGGATACGTTTGCGGGTCTGCTTTCATCATGTCGTTTCAACAGCCTTCAGCTCACTCCCTCTGCGAATGTTTTTCGCCTTGGCTACCCGGCCGCGAACTTTACGATACCATGCTGCACTGTCCATCGCTCGCAGTATTTAGATGTAATAGTGTGGCGTCACCTTTTCCGACCACCTCTAACCAACCCCCCGCCCACCCCCCACCCCTCACCCCCCGCCCCGCCCCGCCCTGTCCACCACGCGGAAACCCTGGCAACAATCGCAACAACGAAAACGGGATCGGGATCGGGATCGGGATCGGGAACAGATCTGCTTGACGTACGCTATCGTGAACCCCTTCATCCTGGTGGTGGGCATCCCGTACTTCTTCGCGTGCCACCTGGTGTACAAGCACCAGATGCTCTTCGTCTACGAGCCCATGTACGAGACGGGCGGAGTGTTTTTCCCCAAGATTTTCAGGCGGTTCATTTTCGCTCTCATCATCGCGCAGGTATGGGGGGGGGGGGAGGGGAGGGTGGGGGCGTGCTATTTATGTTTTGCATGACTTAGCTGTTGGACCATTGACCACGCGTCCTCGGGAGGACGGAACAGCAGTGTTCCCACAGGACGGGGAGGGTTACATATTTTGCCGTCTAGCGTACGTCGACGACAATTTGATGACTCAAGCCTTTTCGAGACGAAGCACTGCTGTTCAGGGACACACACCATCAACATTTGGCTGCTCTCTCTCATTTTTATTTTCACGTGTGGAAGCGCTTGCAGGGACGTGCTCGATGTCCGTCTCTTCGTCAGTGACCACTTTAGTTTTATGGGGATGCGCATGGTTTTCTTTCCTAATGACTGCATTTTGTGGCCGCTACTGTACTCTTGCGGGCTACTTACTGTACGTTTGCGGGGTGGTTCCCAAAAATGCGAGCGTTGTCGTATCTGCTGCGCTCTGTACACCCTGCTACTGTTCCGCTTACCTCCATCCACGCATTTTTTTTTGCCCGTCGAACTTTGATCCGCTGCGTTCGTTCCTCCCCGCCTTTTTTCCTTTTTTTTCGAAGGCGACGATGGTGGGGATCCTCATCCTCAAGGTGGCCTACTACCAGGCGGGGCTGGTGTTCTTGCTGATGATCTTGACCTACATCGCCAAGTCTTCCCTTCGGGGGTCCTACGAGCCGGCGGCTTTATCGCTCCCCCTCGAGATCGCCAAGGTGATCGATCACCAACACAAAAAGCCATGGCCACCAAAAGTAGTTGGGATATCGAAGAACATGTGCTGCGTGTGGTTTTTTCAAATTCGTCTGTGGTAAGTTTTTTTTTTCCGTGAATTTTGGGGTTTGTGTAGTATGCGGCGATGTTGCTGTTTGTTTGCCTTGGTTCTCTGCTTGTTGTTGGATACGTCGTATCACAGTAACTATTGTACCTATCGCCAACTCGTGTGGCGTTTCTTTTCAGGGTTATTTTTTTAGAAAGGGACGACTTTTGCCAGGGGGTGATACACAAACGCTTGATATGGGCGGAAAGGTTCGGTGGGGTAGACACAAGCCTCTATGACTTTTACTATAGCTCAAAGGTACGTGTTGACCCATGGGCTCCAAACGATCGTAGTTGGCAAGAAATGTTCGTCGCCGATAGTGTGGCACCACGGGGATGTGTATACATCCAAATAAACACTGGTGGTGCACGTTTTATATATTGTACATGAGCGCCTTCACTTGACCCCACGGCGATAGCAACCACCCCCCCCCCCCCCC